CTCACGGCACACAGACATATCTACAGTGTTGGACGGGCCGGGGTTTTGTTCTGATAGCGTGTAAAAGGGACAGAACCATCTAATGCATGTCAAACAGCCTCCATTCAAAACCCGATAACAACACTGGGATGAGAAGATGTGAGCTGAAGCGAACACGAGTCTCTGCAGAATGTCGTCCAATGAAAACAGCGGCGCATGCATCACTCCGCCGAGGTCATGCAGCGTTACTAACCCCGGCGGTCGCGTGATATGACAGATGCCGATCACCCGCCCCACGTGTTTTTCACCAACCTTTCACACTGTGGTCTGCTGCTCGTCTTGCCTGCGGCGAGTCAGGCAGAGGAAACGTGCAGCGCGCAGAGAAGATTCGCATGCGGTTCGTCTCCCGGACAACGGACGATGCTGCGGAGAACCAGCAGGTTGGGATCGGCGCCACCTCTCCGGGCTCATTATCCGGACACATTGCATTGCACCGTGTCTTGTTTCTAAGATGCTAAATGATGTGGCCGTTCCTGCACGACCACCTCTAACTAATCCCATCTCGCCTTGGAAGCCAGCGGCCTTGACACAACGAATTCTTGTTGTTGAATTTACAAATCAGAAAATGGGAAAAAAATAAGAAAACCATCGGTACTGAATAAGAATTCAAGAGGAATAAATTGAATTAGAAGTTTGCTGCATCAGCTGACGCAGCGACTCCAACTGCATCCTCCTCGCTGTGACCTGAGGAGGATTTAGGCAAACGAGGCCCGCGACAGAACGGTCGATGAAATCCGCTGATTTCGTCAGCCGATCGGACCACAGCAGATGTGAGCAAAGGTCAAAATGTCAAAGCACTGCTAAACACTGGCCGGCTGAGGGAGATCCATACGCAGCAGGGTGCGAGCTTCCTGTCATTAGACAGAGCGTCCGCAAAGGTCAGGGGGAAACACGCAGTGCCAATCAGTGCAGTTTGGAGCTGAAGCAGACATCCGATACCAACCAGCGTGCACAAACAAAAAGAGCTAAATGCAGCAGAGGGTGCGAGACGCTGTGCGCAGCTTATTGGGCTGAAGTCTAAAGAGGGCAAAGTGTGCATTTAAAAACACGTTTCCCACAATCTACTGTGGAATTCACTTCCTGGCAACTGAGAGTATTTCGCAATTTCAGCGAGAGGGAGAGAAAGTTAAATTCAAAGAATCACGGTCAAATAAAAATCTATATTTACATTAAAAAAATACCTTTGAGGTGCAGCTCTACAGCGGACGGGCGGCCCGACACGCTCACAGCGCGCCAAAGGGGACCACTTAAGACGCTGTAATTAGCCGTGATGTCACCACCATGTTTCTGTGACGCCACAGACAGCAGGTCGAGGAGATGAACATTAACATTAGTTAACATGAATACATGAATCTACCACCCCCCCTTTAGAAGAATATCACGACGATTTACACACACACACGCCAACAGGCAGCATGCTATTTAACCTCAAATGGTAATCAGAGCCTGATAAGAGGTTTGTAATACGTGTGATGTGAAGAGCTTAATCCGAAGCAATTACACAAAAAAAGAGATGCACATTATGAGTCTCCTCCCTAAAATATGTAAAACACAAATTGGTTAGCGGCCCAAAAAAGCTCACATAAGCGCTGGCAACGGATGGAGTTCTTTATCTTCATTGCATCACGGATCTAATGACACACACACACACACACACGCACGCACTTCATTAACATCATTAATTCCAAAGTTTGTTTCATCCACCTTGGCTCTTTGTTCCTCCCACCTGACAGCTGTTGCTCAGATGTTTCATCAGTCAGGTCCTGCAGAAATCACGTTGCTGCACATCGTGAACTCTGTTTAGGAGGAAGCGCGTCTTCTCCCAGACGACGTTTTAACGGGAGAAAAGCTTCTCTCGCCCGGCGATACGAGACCTTCCCCCGGTGCAAAACCAAAAGTCAACATCAACATGTTTTATTCTAATCCCAATTCTTAGAAGCCTTCCACACATTTTCCTCCCACTTTTGGTGATAATAAAAAAATAAAAAAAAAGAGACTCTCTAAAATCCCAGCTTTCTAACCCCAGAAATGAAAAAGCGGCTTAAAGCCAGCGGTTGAGCTTTAGCTACCGACCAGTTACTGCGGCGTGCGGGAGCCACGTGGGGGACAAGTGAAGCGTCGCCGCGGCGTGCGACTGGGAAAGCGCGCGTGCTAGCGGGGGGAATCGTCTCCCAAATCCCTTATTGAGCCTTTTGTTTCATTCGGCCCCTGCAGTCCGAGATAAGCCGCGCGTGGGGGCCGAGCGCGGGCTAACCCTCTCAGCCATTACCCCGCCGCGACCGCCGGCCAAATCCGGACAATGGCGGTGAGGCGGGCGAGCGGACGGATAGCTGTGAGGGACGACAGCCGGAGAACGTGAAGAGGCGGAGAGGAAGATCCCATCAGGTCGAGGTTCATGCACGCGAAGTCATCGCTGATAAGTTTTGCAGATTTGGTGCAGGCAGCTGGGAATCGATCACGCTGTCGGCTCTGCAGCAAAACAACAGTGAGCACTTTTATTGATTGAAATCGCTGTGGCTCCACATTCATTTTATTCAGCTGCTATCGTCTGACGGAGGGAAAAAGAAAAAAAAAAGAACTTGGGCGAACTGATAAAAGCTACTTTTTCGAGAGATAACATGGCGAGAGCGGAGGGCCGGGGAGATGCGGAGGCGAGATCCCGTCAGGTGTTGAAGTCGTAGTCGTATCGCGCTTTTATTTAGAAGAATAATGATTTTAAAAAGCATCCGATCCCGACATCTCGTAAACATCTGTATTCAGGACCACGTGACAGCACGGCAGGCAGCGGAGGCCTCGTTCAGGCTTCCGGGGGCCTAGACGGACGGGGGTTCGGCCTCGGGTCACTGACACCGTGTTTCTCATTCGGAGCTGCTATCTTGGGCTCTCTGCAGTCCTTATTGTCCATTAGGCAAGAGAAATGTCTGAAAGAGCGGGAGCCAATAGAGAAAGAGGGCAACACACACACACACGGGAGCGAGAGCAGACGCACTGAAGACAAAATGGCTTTCGTTCGCACAGCAGCAGAAGGCCAGAGGTGCCTCGTTTTTTTTTTTTTTTTTCCTTTCTCAGTTCCTTTCCTTTCATTTGCAGCCTCCTTTAATCTCCTCCGAGAGGAACGCGCCTCCCAAACCGCATGAAAGATGTTTACACGCGCTTCACGTGTCCCCGCGATGCGCTCGCTTTGTCGGATCGTCTGCCGCTCTGCATCTACGTGCAGAGAGGACTTTACCAAAACACACACACACACACACACACACACACACACTCCATGAACTGTTGGTGGCGAATATGAAGCGGGAAAACAAATGATCTCTCACTCTGGTTATGAGGTGCGTGTGTGTGTGTGTGTGCAATTACGTGTGTTTAAGCCATTTTTGTGTACGAGTGTGCCGACGGAGTGCAGCGCGGTGATGAATAAGCGTTATTAAGCCGGCTCGGGGGGGTCGTTAATCTTCATCCCGGTCGGGCAGCGCCACAGAACTCGCTGGCCGTCCGTAGTACGATCTATAAAGCAGAGAAAGAATCTTCCTCTGTATCTCACACAGTAAACGTGCGTCTGTGCACCGCTCAGGCTCCGGGTTCCACCGTATAACGCGTCTGCGTCTGATGGAACTTTGGTTTCGGACCCCGAGGGGCAGTTTCTTTCATTTGCCATAATTCTTTTACTGGATGTTGAGAATTAGGACGGGACCCAGCGGCCGATCTAAAAGGCGAGCGAGCGGCACGAGGTCACGGCTCTGAAACTCGAGGTCACCGCAGCCGTGGAGACGCTTGGATTCGAAACAGTTGAAACCAAAGCACGCAGACCTCCGATATCGGCCGTCCTCGTGCCCTCTGCTGGGCACGCCGCAGCTCGTTTCTGGTGCTCATCCACGGACATGATTGAGTCCAACCCCCCCCGCCGTCCGTTCCACGAGGCCTGAACCAACAGCACCATTATCTAGGAGGTGCAACGCAAAGAGGTGATGAGTTTATAGGCAGTTCAGCACACGAGGCTTCGTATCAGCGGGACGTTTGACGGACACCAAAACACTTGACTTCGGTTTCCCACACAAACACGACATCGCCTCCAGAATCTGGCTTTTGAATATAAAAACACTCGATTCCCGTTGGGCTTTAAAAACACGTCTCTCATTGCAGAGCAGCTGTGGAGCGTTGATGAGAATGAGTTGTATATAAAAGCACACACGGGGCACTTGGACAAGTAAAAACATATTACTGGGGCTTCAGCCGCTTTGTCTTTAAAGTAATGACAGTTTCACGGCCGCTTTGCTACTTTAATAACTGACAACATATTTATCTTCCGTTATAGACCTAATCGTGTTTGCCACTAAAAACAGTCTCAAAGACCTGCTGACACCTGAAATGGAGAAAACCTAAAAGCTAACGGGCGGGACAGCGGGTTGTTGCCGCAGCAACCAACAATGACAACGCTCCCTTTTCCCAGCAGCTGTGTGTCCGTCTCGCTCCTGTAGATACCGAGTCTGGATGGGACTCATGCAGAGGTCCTTCCCCTCACGCAGGATGCTGCACTCGTCCTCTCTGGCGCTCAACGGCTGAGCGGCTTCCAGGAAAGCGGGACGGGGGAGTCGCTTCTGGGCTCCGAGAAGTGGGTTTTTTATCTCTGCTGGTGACGCTACGTGCTCAACGGAGATCTGTGGTTTCTGATTCAGTAAAATCTTATTTTTCTGTGTTGTTGTTGTTTTTGGGGGCGACTTGGCCACCCTGAGAACCTAAACTAAACTCTTTTTTTCCTCTGTTCTTTCCTCTTACCACAGCTTGATGCCCTCACCCCAAACGCAAGACAATGAAGGTTCCACCTCCTCCATCCAAGAGGACAATAGCTTTTCTTTTCCTGGAGAAATGCCTCTCCACTGTACACCAGCAGGAGCGGTAACCCAAGGAGCTCAGTTCCATGGTTCCAAACAGATAAAACCCTTTTAAAGAAAGTCAACAGTACGCAGTGGAGTCGATTAATCTTTGTTTTGGACCCGTTCTGATGAAGATCTCACTGCATTAGCACATTCCTCACAGTCTATACACATCAGGCGAAAAGCTTCCTAAAACAGCACATTCATTAACAAACATGGAGAGAAGTTCAATTCGTGGTCGTTGCATTTCCGTGGTTTTTAGGAGGGTCGAAACCTTTGATACCGTAACGGGAAAAAATAACTCTTTCCAGATGTCTGACAAGTGTGAAGGAGGTTAGATCTGGAGAACCTCCTCTGGTGGTTCAGCCTCCCGTCCTGATTTACGGTCCTGTGTCTTCCCCCCGCTTGTGCAACTGCTCCGGCTTTGTCTCCACATTCCAGGAGGGTGGTGTCATCAGCGCGCTCTCCATCCTGTGCACGAGCGCCGCAGATAAAAAAAAAAATACAAGAGGAACAAGAGAGAGAAAGTGAGCAGAAACAGGTGTCACGTCTGAACAGGCCCTTTTCCCACCTGCAAGTAAGCTCCACAGCTTAACGCCCCCCCCCCCCGGCCCCCAACATCCGTGTGAGGGGAGCGTGACATTACAGTAAATAATAGGCCGCGTTAATGGCGCGGCGGTGCAGGAAGTCGAATAAAAGCTTTGGCAGGCTGTAGTTGTGGCCCCCTGTTGACAGAAAAGGGGCCGCGGGTGAAACGATCCGAGCAGTCGCTCGCGTCGGAGCGCCGCAGACAGCGAAAGGGGAAGTTTGGGCCTCGTGCTGCTGGTCTGCTGCTGTTAACAAGCTTGTCGAGACAACGCGGAAAAGGTCCGTGAGCAAAAGGAGCAAAGTCACGTTACATTGGAAAAGCGGCCGTGACTTGATCAATTATATTTGCATTTACGTCTAGACACGTACATGCATTGTGGAGCCGAATGATGGTCACGTTTTGATCGGCCTCACCGACGTAACAGCCGGTCAATCAGCGCTTTCATCGGAGAATTAATCACGTTTTTCAGGCGACGTATCCGTAAGTCAGAACGGAAAGTACTAAAACAAAATCAAAGCAAATTAATTCTGAGATCAAATTTGATAGAAAAACGCATAAAAGAATAAAAAAAAGGAATTGAGAAAATGAGTTTTACAATTAGATAATGAAATTCAATTATTACTTTATCATTTAAGGGCTGAATAAGAGATTCAAATTATAACTTATTATCATTTTGTTTGACATTATCTGCATTATTTAAATGCTAATTTAAAGTTGATAATAGCTTCTGTTAGTGGTTGTGTTCATTGATTATCATTTTAAAATGGCACACCAGCAGGTTTCAGGGATATTCCAGATCCTTGTATGCAAATGGACACTTTATTTTTCTCCCGCATAATAAAACCCTGGCCGAGCGGCACGCTGCAGAGATGGACGCTTTCAGCCTGATGTTTAGTGTTAATAAAAGACCTGCTTTAATTCAGGTTAATCGAGGCGGCGGCGGGCTGCCGCTGCCTCCGCCGTCCCTTTGTGGACGTCGGCGGGCGTCGGCGTGAAGAGAGACGAACCAGGCGAGTGGAACGCGAGCGGCGTCACCCGGGAAGGCGGGTTTGTGTTGGCGGGAGATCAGAGTTTCCCACGAGCTGGTGAAAGGAGGCCGGTTGCGCGGATGGAGCCAAGAGAAACAACTCCTTAATTAAAGGAACATCCGCATCGCGCCAAACACATGCTACGCGCTGATTGCTTCATGGATCAGTGCACGGAGGAAGAAAACATACAGTGGAAGCAATGCAACGTAAATTATATTGACTCACACAAGACGGATGGATCTGCTTGTGGTCTCTGGGAGGCCTCAGACGTCAGTGCCCATGAAAGGCTAGTTTCAAATTCTGCCCTAATACATTATGACGCATGCTTTGGGGACCATCGGCCGTCTTCTTGCTGGTGCGTTGGAGACCAGCTACCGCGCAACTGGCCGTAGGAGAGAAGCGGCGTCGCAAACGCCGCTCCGACGGAGACACCAGGAGACGTAAGAGACGTCCTCAGGATGCAGGAACCCACCGCGCTCCGTCCACATTTGAATGTGTATGTGAATGCGGACGTCGATGGAGAGAACAGCCTGCTGCGATAGATAAAAGCACAGGACGGGAGCTCTCTGCTTCCCCCCCCCGTTCTCACACCTCGGCTTCTTCCAACACGTACAACCGGCCCGGCTTAAGTAGCATTAATGGTGTTTGGTTAGGACGTCACCTTTGACCTTCAGAAAAAAAAAAAAGCCCAGCCCCCGCTGGGCCGATCCCCTTGTGCGGGACAATGGGAATGCGGCTGGTGACTTAATAACAGGAAGCGCGCCGGCGATGAGGGAGATTACGTCCGTGGGTTCACACGCAGCGACCCCGGGCGCCAAACCGTCCACGCCGCGCGGGAAACCAGGGCGACGCTTCGCTCTGAGACTCGTTGATCGCGACAGACCTCTCCGGCGGCCTCGGAAGAAGACGTCAGCAGGCGGAGCTGACAGGTTTGACGTTTGACGAGTCCCCCGCTGCTTCATTAAGGACTCGTCTGATCGCGGCTCCGCGGGAAGAAAAGGCAGAAGCAGGCAGAGGATGTAAACAGGAAGCAGCCTTCCGTTTTATTCTAAATGATATGTACAGGAAAAGTGGCTGCATACATTTCTTTAGATATCACGTGAAATGGAAAACAAAAACAAAAACAATTGCACATCAGCTTCCGTTTCTTTTTATATACTTTAAAACACATCATGGCACGGGGTACAAAAGCATTGATAGCCGCTCGTAAACTACAAAAGGGGTTCTTAAAGGAGCGCCCCAAAAATAAAATAACAATCTGATATAAAAGATGCTTAAAAACACACTGAAGTTCGTGCCATCGTCAAACACATGACGCGGTGTGCCCTCTGTGTAAAACATGGTGATGATGATATAATATCAGGCACTTCTCTATTTTACGAGCCAGACAGCTGATTGGCGGTCAGACTACAGTTTGTATCTTATTTGGTAAAAGTCTTCATCGGATCCATTGCAGCGCGGATGAAGAAAGGGGGGGACGTGGTGCGACGTGGTTCGCTTCCGTCAGACTCGTGTCTACGTACAGGTTTCCATACTGGAATTATGCCAGTTCGCCTTCTTACCTTCATCGTTTCATCATCATTTATTAGCCAGCTGGGGCCTCTTTCATCCAACAGGAGATAATGTCTAGTTTCTCTCTGCATTCGGCCGCGTGGGAGTGAACGGCAATTACGCTGCGCCTGTTTGTTTTCCACAGCCAGCGACGGCGCTTTTTCCCTTTTGTCCGTTTCCTCATTGGTTTCGCCCGTGGGGAGAGACCGCTGCGTCGCTAACATTAGCGGGGTCAACAGAGACCGCTGCGTCGCTAACATTAGCGGGGTCAACAGAGACCGCTGCGTCGCTAACATTAGCGGGGTCAACAGAGACCGCTGCGTCGCTAACATTAGCGGGGTCAACAGAGACCGCTGCGTCGCTAACATTAGCGGGGTCAAAGAGGAGCAGGTTCCCGCCTACTGGAGCAACCCGGTGGGCAGCGTGAGGTGGGAGACGGGGGGGGGATTTTTAACAGAGCACGCGGCTCTCAACATGGCGACGTCTAGGCGAAGGCTCAGAGCTAATGGTGCTAACGGTTAGCGAACGGTTCAGGCGACGGCGGCGTGGCTGGCAGAGCTAACTGTGCTAACCAAATAGTTCCAAATCGTTTCTTTGAATAACACGGAGACGTATTTCATTTTTTGGATAAAAGCATTTCTAAAAAAAAATTAAAAGTTTCAGCTAAATGCTTCACAGAGAATGCCAAATTACAGAAAGCAATTACAGTAATTGAAAGCAATTAACTCTTGAACAATTTTGCCTTTTGTAAAAAAAAAAAAAAAAAGCAGGAGAAAAGCTCCAGCTGATCTCACAGTGGCAGGTTTATTGTCTCCACGCATCTTTATTCTGGCTCTTTCTCTGCTTCTATTCCTCTCTTTATGTCGGGAGCCGGGCCCTCTGGCGGCGGCGTCCTTTGGCTCTGTCAGGCAGCAGGTGGCATCTAATGAAAAATTCAGAGCAGAGTCTGACTCGGGAGGCGAGGAGGAGGAGGAGGAGGAGGGTGGTGGTGAGCGGGAGGAAGAGTGAAGGGGGCGGGAGATGAGCCAGTAGAGGGGAGCAGAGAGGAGGGCGGCCATGAAGGTGGGGGTGTCGAGGTGGAAGAAAGAAAAGGTAATGAACAGAGGGGCGGCGGAGGATGGGAGCCAGAGCTCCAGACAGACAGGCTAGCGAGTCGAGCCCAGAGCAGGGGGGGCCGGGCAGAGGATCAGAGCTGTCTACCCTCTGTGCCTGGGTCTCCTCCACGGAGATGACACACGATATGAATCATTTATGGGGGGGGGGC